GAAAACTAAAAGACAAATAGGAAAAGCCAGATATGACTACAGGTATTGCAGCACTGCTTTTTTTAGTGTTTCACTGTAGCAGTGATTTATACTAACCCACCCAGTGTACCATTGTGAAAAATTAGGAACATATCAGCCATGGAGGCAGTAACCTCTAGCAGTGGGATGGTAATGAAGAGTAAGGGGTTCTTTCAAACACTCTGTTAAAATAAATTAAAGGCCTTCATCTATACCCACAGGATGTGTATAATGAGGCAATGTAAGCATGGAAGATAAAATTAGGAGTGCTAAAGTGCAAAATTAATTAATACCAAGAAGGACATGCATTTGAAATCAGAGGGAGATAAAAGAAAGTATAGGTTCACCATTTAATGGGGGAGGACAGCAAATAACAGGCATAAAGAAAACCAAATCTTCCCATTTTGCTTCAGTCTATATGAAAAAGATTCATTGAAAGCAAATATTACTGCAATTCATTTAAAAGAGTACAGTATGAAGGCCAGAACAGTTCAGTATTGTTTAGTTATTTCAAATGTATTTAAGTTCGTTCCTGACTAAATTCACCACTGAGAACATAAAGAACCACCCAAAGCAATCCCTGACACATTAGAACTACCTTTGGCAACTTCAGGAGGGGAAGGAAAGAATTCAAAATACTGCAGAGAAGCCAGCATAGTACCTGTCATTAAAAAGGGGGAACAGGAGATCATAGCCTCATTCAGTGTCCAGAAGCAACATTAGACAAAGAATCGAATAATCAATGTATAAACATCTTTAGGATATGAAAGTGATTAAAACTGCAGACAAAGGTTTGTCAGGAGTAAATCACACCAAATCAATCTACTCACCCCTTTCATAAGGATAGTAATACTGTGATATACTTATACTTTGATAGAATTTTTTGAGTTTGCTTTGCATTATATTGACATAAACAAATTTCAGAAATATAGGCTAAATAAAATGCAAATAAAATAGCTGAAACTGCATTTAAACCAAAAAAGTCCCAAATACATTATCAGTGTAGGTATAATTCAAGCAAGATTCTGCACTGAATTTTCCTAGATCCAGTTTGATTCAATGTGTTCATTAATTACTCTGGTGACAGAATAGAGAATACACTTAAGGTGTTTGTGATGACATAATGTTAAGCACATAAGGGAAGACGGTATCAGAAAACTAATTGATCTTGATACATTGGATGTCAAACTTGAAATTCAAAAAAAAAAACAACAGACAACAGATGCACAATTACAAACTGAAAACCTGAAGAGGCAGCAATCCATCAGAAAGGGGCCTGCTATTGCAGCAGTTTGCTGAGTGAATAAAAGTTGTGACACTCTTGGAGAAAAAAAAACATAAGGCAAATCTAATTCTGGATGAAACTCAGAGGAATGACACAGTAAGAAACAACCAGGCTGATTCTGATACACTTCCAGTCAGTCAGGTTCCCACTGCACCTCAATGCCCCATCTCCTCAACACACTTCACACCAGAAACAATTTAAGGGGAAGCCAGCAGACAAAGACACAGGAATGAAAGACCAGGTTAAGGAAGAAACACAGCAATCCTTCAACATGCAAGAGCAGAGAGAGTTCTGTGATGGGTAAACAGAGGAGGCTGGAGGCAGCTGAATGGCTGTTGGCTGCTCCCAGAGCTGTGACAGTGTCCCAGAGAGCCAGGCTGCCAGCTACTGCTGCTGCCACCAAGAAAAGGGTTTGGATTGACTTATGGCTATTTTGGGGAGGACAAGGAGATCCCAGAAGCAAGAGTCACAAACTAGGATTGGGACAGGAGCAGCAATGTCAGTTTTCTATATCTTGCAAGCGCAGCCTTTCTCCGTGAAAGCCGTCAGCTTTCTGTACAGCCTACACTGCTGAGACGTCTTGAGCTGTGCTGTAGAAGGTATAGAGAGCTTGGGAATCAGTTTGTGATGTCCACCAAGGGAAGAACAACAAGAATTTGATAACTTTACAGCAGAATGACTTTAGCAGAGATATTAGCAGGAAAGTCTTGAAAAGAAGGTCTACAAATTATTGCTCAGAACATCACAAAACTTCATTTGATAGAAGGATGAAGAGCTGTTAGGGGAAAAAACACACTAACATCTGCAAGCAGGTGTGTTTGTTGTCTCCCTGTGAAGGAAGACAAAAAAAGTCACTCTCTGAGAGGCATTGCCATCATCACACTTCTGATTAATAACATTTCACTACATCTTCATGTTTTACCAGGAAAAAAAGTGGAAGCAGCACACTGCTGATGGTAACTTTCAGAGCCACTCTTATAGCCCTGGGACAAATGACTGATAAAATGAGCTCCAGCATAATTTTTAGCTACAATTATATGGTGTGTGACATCAGCCCATAGAAATTGTTTCTGGCTTCGCTCTCTGGCATCAGTGAGCAAGTGCTAAGTCATACATCTGTTTGGGAATGCAATCACATTATTATCTCCTGACAGAGAACATAATCAACTAATTTCAGCTCTGGTATAAATGGATAACCATTTATTATAAATAGATAACCATTCTCAGTTACCCTCTGAAGAAGCCTCCTTGTCTCTATTACTGCTGTATAGGTAAATTAAACTCCTTAATTTATGTGCTCCAAATTAGTTAAAATAATTTAAAGTAGATGGAGTTAACCGCTTGGAAGTTATTTCTCAATAACTAAGCTAATCATTCCTAGGGCTCTTTATAATCAATGCTGGATTGTTTCTCAGTGAATATGCACATCACCTTACTATTACTTCAGCAGAGTAATGCTGAGTTAAACCAGCTGAGGATTTGGCCCACAATATCTCAAGGGCACTTACTTTTAATTTAGTAATAATTACACTCTATGCTAATATACTAGAAGGTCTTTGGCCTTTGAGTTAATGAAATAATACCCAAATGACCCTCAGAATCCATTTCTTCAGCAAAGGGGAAAATTATTATTTCATAAACAGGAAGTAACCTCAATTTCTTATAATAAATAAATAATAAACTTCATTTTGCATATAAAAAGAGAAAGGAAAAAAAAGACAGAGGAGAAGAACAAATAAGAAGATAAATTTTAATATGACTTTCTGTGGTTCTTATCTCTCTAGTTTTTTATAACCCAAATCAAAAGTGTAAACCATGAATGCACACACACATGTGCACAAAAACATATCAAATTAACCCCTATTTCACTACCTATTAAAGGTTTCACAGAATTATGACAAATACTACAGAAGGATGAGAAGCCATATGTTCTGCCACACCCAGGAAGCATTATGTCTCAGACTAGATTTATAATAACCTGGGAATGTTTGTCTTCCATCCTCACAGTGAACTAGTAGAGATTGAACATGTGGTCTCAGAATAACAACCTGAAGAGGTGATGGGAGGTCTTCTAAATTTCTCAAAGAAAAATTGTTTCATCTCCATCTCCTATGCACCATTTTTTTCCTTACCTTTTTTTTTAACCCTCTCACACTGAGCTTATTTCACTATCACACAATTATATTATTTTACAGATTCACACAGAGAGGATCAGATCCTGCCAAAACCAAAGGATACTAGTGGAGTCTTTTTCCTTACACACTCTGTCTGAAAGGAGAGATACAGAGGATAGATTTTTAACTTTTTTAGTCAAATAAAATAACTGTTTCATTCAGTTAGTAATATCTCCCACAGCAGGGAGCTGGAACTAGATGAACTTCAAGATCCCTTTCCAATACAAGTCATTCTATGATTCCATGATCCCTATGACAATTATTTCTATTTTGTATCTGTTCACATCTGAGCAGTTCACTATAGGTTTTAGTAGTACAGCCGTAGGAGCAGAATTTTGGTCAAAGCTCTACATAAATGGTCCTTCCCTGTTTTATGTGAAAATGTTCACCACTCTTCCAAAGCTTAATTTCATGAAGAATCTAATGAAATTTGAATTTTGAAAATACAACAAATCATACTGATTTCTATAGTTAGACCACCAAACTAGAGCAACATTGTATTGCAAATTACAGCTACACTCTGACAAGGCATGTAATCATTTGATAGGTTGCTATTTTTTGTATTACAGCAATAGGTCCCATCTTTAAGGTCCATTCCAACCTAAGCCTTTCTATGATTTTGAGTTTGAAATATCCTGCAGGCATTTTTTAAGTGACAGAGAATTCCTAGAATTAAGTCAAAACAATTTTACAGATTGTAGAATGGTTTGATAATGATTAGAAGGTGACCTCTGAGGAAAGTTTTTGGCTTAAAAGTAGATAAAAATAAAGCCCTATTAAAGCTGCAAGCATACAACACGTAGTGATTTGAAAATCAGCTGGTAGCCTGAAAATACTCCATATTATTTTTTTTTAAAAGTAATCTGTGTCCCTCTAATCTTTTTTATGCTCTGAAAAAAGCCCAAATAACAACAGGATTGTGTCCTAATAAATGCTGTATTTAGTCCTGATGAATGCAGAAATAACACAGACATATTAAGACTGAGAAAAAGATTTTGTTGAACTTTGCGCTGAGTTGGTAAAATAAATATTGAGGAAACCATAAAACTTGTTCCTTTTTATCTTCTCTTCATCAAATTTACCATCATGTTTTCAGATCCAGAGCTGATATAATAACACCTTCCCAGTCTGGCTTGCTCTGACGGTTTTGTAGCCTCACATAACCTGGTGATGGGATGTACTGGGAAAGGAAGGGAGTCACTGAAAAATCTGATTTCTTAAAAATTACATATTGTCCTAGAAGCACCAGTTATGCATGCAATGGAGACTTACTTCTCTGGGGTGAAGTAAGGTCTTTTATCCAGATTCTCAAATAATATGGTGATATTACAGCTCTTGGAACTCTTCTTAACTGATTGCACACATTTTAAGGTACAGAGTTACACTGGGTCATTTTATTGCTGTCTTTCTTTCTGTGACAGTGACCTTTGTGTTTTCTCCTATCCAGTGGCTTGAACACTACACCATCTCTCTTTCCCCCCTTCCCTCCATTCCACTTTGCTCTGGATGCTAAGGGCACTTACCTGAAGGGTCACTGAGGAGAGACAGAAGCTTCTCAGGCTGCGGCAGTAGCTGCCATGAGGCTTTTAATTTTACAGAAGAGTCTGTCTCTACTCTACAAGTTAAGCTCTTGACAGACAGATGGTCCAGGATGGTTTGTCTCGACTTTCTCCAGGTGATTCTGACTTTCAAAACCTCCTCCACACTGCAATTTGGACTCTGATTTGGAAACTATGCAAATGAATTTTAAATATTGTCAGTAGTTTATCCTGTGAATTAGTTCTTCTCTTGTAAAAACCAAAAATCTTTCTGCACCTGAACTTCTGTGGAAAAGCATATAAAATTTTATAATAGAAAATAATAGATTAAATATGGGGCTTGCCAAAATTCCCCTCTTCCTACTTTATAAATCAAACTTCCCAATTTAGTTAAAGCCAAATTCTTTCCTTGTGCTGTATTTCAGAGGTAGCTTACAGAAGATCACAGAAGTTACACAATGAAATTTGTGTGAATGTCAAGGGAGTTGTCCATTCAAGTGTGTATTTCAAGTCTTACACTCTCAACCTGGAAGAATCTAGAAAATGTGAAACTATTATTGTCATTGTTGCAGAATGTAAAAGTCAGTTTCTCGGGAAACTAAGTTTCCTATAGAATAAGTGCAGTGATGCAAGTATTTCACCTTATTTTAAAAGCTCTCTGGAATTTTAGATTATGTCACATTTACAATTCTCCTATCTCAAGCAAGTGAAGCTCCACTCTGAGTTAGTCTCATTGAACAACAGTGAAGTGGAAATTGTAGTTAGTTACAATTGGTTTTTAATAGCCTTGTGTTGTCTTCAACAAGGCATATTAGAAATAATATACGAGGTTGGAGCAGCTGCTAAACTTGCATTTATGTATTACCAGTTTGAAGGAAATAATTAATTTTAACATTGTTACAGTCTCTGTATCAGTGTCTCAAAATAACTCGCTGTGATTAATAGACCATGATAACAATTTTGATCAATGATATAACATTTCTTCATTAAAAAAGAAAGAATTTATTGCACATTACAATTTTTTTGAACTGTATAGATTTCAATCTTGTCTGAAAATGCAATCTTCATCCATTCAGTGACACCAGAAGTTAGCTTTCTTTAGTCAAACACTTAGAAACCATACCTCCATTCCCTTTCCTCTTGTCATTATTTCATTTAATTTCATATGGTTTTAATGAGTGATTTTTTTTCAACAGTTTTTGAGTGTTTCAGATAGCAATATTTCATTCTGGAATAAAAGCTAATGATCCATAAATACTTAATGCCATATTTTTATGGCCAGTAAATTAGTCTTAAATGAGTTCAGTAAGTTCTCTGACACATGTCATTAATTGCTAATGGTGTTTTAACTAGATAATTGTTGTAAAAGGTTGTTCATCATCATCATTGGTGGGTGACTGTTCCTTGCAGGCTGTCCTGCCTGGTACTGCTGAACTTTCTCTGTCTACCATTGTGTGCAGCAAAGAGATCAGGGGACTGTGAAGCATAATTTAAATATCAAATTCAAACACATCTAGTGGACAATGAACCTACAGATCATCAGACTTAGTAAGATCAGATTACTTTTTGTTTTTTGGACAGAAACATGTGTATCGTATCATAGTGCTCCTTACACACGGCATAAATGAGTTATAGACCAATCCTGACTAAGCAGTAAAAATGCCTAAGCTTAGATCTAAACTGATTCAGGCATTAAATTACCTAAAGAATATGCTATGCAATGACTTGGTGACATGAGTAGCAAGTGATTAGTGGTTTCTGCTTAGGATAAAGGGGTAGTATGACCTTAATGACATGCAGTAATTAGAGGGAAAGTTCTAAGTGCTAAGCAAAGTGAACTTTTCAATACACAAGAGCAAGTTGCCAGTGAAAGTGAATTGAATTGAAAAGTAAAAGAATTGAATCTCCTCTTTGCACTTGAATCCTTGACCAGTATTATGCCTTCACAGGCTGTTGCCACCACGTTAATTATCAAGCAAACAGTTATCTTTGGTAAGGTCAGATCTAGCCACAAAGAGCAGTAATACAAAGTCTTGTTTAAGTAAACATGAGGCCCTAAGTATCCAGAGGCAAGGCCTTTGCTTGCTATTCCAAGTCACTGGGTTGTCTTCATTCCTAAAAATACACATGAACTTTTGTCCTTGCTTTCACAAGCGGGTTTTCTTAGGTTATTGCTACAAATACTGCATTTTGGTGGTTTTGAGTCCTCTTTTCACATTTTGTTTGTGATTCTTTGGCCTTCCCACTACTTTTCTCTGACACACAGCTCCCTCAGAGGAGTCTTGTCTCATTACACTTCCTTTCCAGTGGTGGCCAGCTGTATATTTTGACTCCAAACGGCATTGATTGTTCATCAGACCCAGTTTGCTCCCCAGTCCATGCAACTTCCATAGGAGCTTAACCTAAAAGAGAGGTAGTTGACCTCAATCTTAGAGTAGAATCTTTAGGTTAGTGTTTGCTCAATCCTGAGGAGAGCAATGTGGGCAGAATAATCTGCAATCAGCCCCTGGGTGATATCTGCTGTCCTTTCCTTTTCTCTTTTGCCTGGAGTTACATGGAGCCCCATGGTCAGTATGGGCAGAGACTGGGGTTTGACTGTGCAGCTAAGGGCTGGTGGAAGTGCATTACATGCCAGCTCTAAATCCTCCCCAGAATGACTTGATTTCTTAAGGGAGGGTGCCCAACACTGCCAGCAGCTCTGTCTAATCCCTGCCATAGGAAGGAGGTCATAAGGGTTTGGAGAGCTTTGTTTGCCTTGCCCTCTATGTGTGTGTATGTGTAACTAGCATGTGTAAGCTGTGTATGCACCGCTCAGAATGAATGAACTAATGCAAATTATAGTTACTTGTTTGATGTGCAACAGGATGATGAGGCTGGAGAGATGTATTTTGCCAAGAAAATCAGGTAGAAAGGCATATGTTGTGCTCATTCTATATATCACAGTATTTTACCCATCTCATTGGCCACTATACTCCCCAATTTCTTTGTGCCCTTGTAACATGTTGTAACTGTTTACCAGCCTTACATGACTGAAAAATCCTGCCAGGCACAGCCTCCTCTAAGTATTTAGTAAAGCTTTTCAGGTAGCTCATGAAGAGCAGTGAAGACAAGCTTTTCTCCCCCAGAATGTCAGCCTCCTCAAGGCAGGCAGGATGCACCATCCTCAGCACTGATGACAGTCTGGCTCACTGTGCTGGGATCACCTAGAAACACCTTGTCTTCTCACCACTATGACCAGATCTCCCAGCAATGTTCTTTCAGCAGCATCCCTTGCCTGCCACCACCTTTGGAAAGTTTCTGTTCTAGTCCCATATTCTTCACCCCCACTGTAAGACCAAGTAGGTACAAGTTTCAAGGTGCCGTGATCAGAAACTGCTGCTTTACCAGCTCACTCAGTGCTTGTCCTATTTTCCACTTGAAAATAGGTCTGAAAACAGAGGAAGAATTACTCTCTTCAAAATGTAGAGCCAAAAGATGCTTTCATTGTCATTACAAGGTGAAAAACAGTGGTTAGAGAATGCACCTCAAAATGTGGCAAAAACCAATCTGGAAAAAGGACATACCATGGGAATACAAGTATCTCTGGAGTGAATGTAGGGAGTGGGAGGAATTCTCTCTGGTTTCCCAGCTGAAGCAGCTCCTTTGTACAAGTAATATTAAAAGATTAACTGAGAAGGAGTGTAGGAGTGAATAAGGAATATTACAGGAGACAGAAAACTTGATTGCCAGTCCCTGATCTTGCATGTTCTTACACAGTCTTATATTTTATCTACAGCCAGCATTGGATAAGAGGCACAAGCAAACTTTGGAACCTTGGGGTTTGTTCTGTTCAAGAGCAAGCTGCACCCATGGGCTCAGAAAACCCTGCTCAGTTCCATTCCTTAATTTCTGCCAAGAAGGCATTCCACACAGAAAAGCAGCCTCAGCAGATTGGATGGGAGAGGCAGGGAAGCAAAGCACCCATACCTCACCAAGGTAAAATGGATTTGGGTAGAAAAGGGAATTGGCTGCTGTCCCACATCATAGGTCAACCTTCAAACCACCTAGCTGTTGTACAAAAACTGAGAAGCACCACCTCCTTTAGGGATTGTAAGGTTTTGGGGGCCAACACCAGCCCTGACATTGCCTGCCAGATCAAAACATCTGCTGCAGATGAGAGAAAATGCACATATTTAAGGAGTCAGTAGGGTTTATGCATGAGAGGTAATAAATTGCTTTTGAAAATGCATAAGTAAACTGAAACTTCTGAAAATGAAAATTCTCTGAAACTCTTAGTCTGAAACAGCAAGCAAAACTCCATTTTTAAGGGGCTGAATTAGCAACAATTTAATTTAATTTTATAGTAAATGTTACAGCACTGTCAAGTATTGTTTCTGACCGTACTGGGAAAGCCACTGTACATAAAAATCACTTAACTGAGTTGCATTATGAAATGTTTTGAAGAACTTCAAGGGTTCTTCAGCTTACTGAAGTGAACTCATTGCAAAAATTGAGTTAAACTCCTTTGGGGTGAGCTCCTTTGGATATCTGGGGTGTTATTTGTAAAATCTAATATTTCATTGTGCATAAAGCTCTAGAAATAAGTCAGCCATTATTTAAGCCCAGGACTCCAGTTTCTACTCATGCTTTTGCTCCTCTCACAAGAGCTTACCATAATCCTCTTAATAACTATGTGTTCTGTTTACAATACTTCGGGCAATATCTACCCTATGACATTTTTTTTTTTTTCAGTTGTTTAATGAAGATTAGATTAATTTCACTAGTATTCAAAGAGTGCTCTTTTCTAATGTTCAGTCATAGTTCTGCTGGGATTTTTTAAAAAGCCTAAGGGAGGCAGTCATCCAAATACCAGTGAATTTCCATGAGAAGAGGTTATGTAGCAGAGTAATCCTAGCTTTAATCATATTGCATTACCCAGGTTAGCTCCTGAAATACATTTTGCACATCTGCACACTTGCTTGGTGTTGAGTGATACTACCAAAAAAATCATAAATAAATAAATAAATAAATAAATAAATAAATAAAATTTAAAAATAAAGACACCTGTAACTGATTAAAAAAATGTCAAGCCTCATACAGTGTCATGTATGGGCTGAGGGTAACAGGTTATGTTAGCAAAAAGGAATTTGGGCAGGGCAGTACCTGCCTTGTTAGTGATGCTCTAAGGTCTCAAAAGTAGAGTTTTTAACCTTTCATCTTATTCCTTTTCCTCCCTTTATCCCTTATCCACTCTAAACCTTCATACTGAAGCAGATCCTTAGGATCCAGCCAGTGGGAAAGTTCGCCTCTCCAAGGATTTCCCAGCTATGAATATGCTTTGTTTGCATCCACTGACTGTTTAAAACTGGCAGAGATCTCTTTACACAAGGACTGTACTAATCTCTGTCCCCTACAGAGCTTGCAGAGACCTCAGCATCAATGAAACCAGACTTAGAGAACACATTAAATAGCGTATCCAGCAAAAAGTGCGGATCTTGGGCTAAATACCCGGCAAGATGTTTCCCAGCCCTGTGATTCCACAATTTGTTGGGAAGGGCTGGTTCTCTTGAAAAGGATGTGAATGAATACAAACTTCTCAGAAACACTGACTTTAAACGATTCTTGGCCCCACTGGCTATTGCTCCTCTTTTCACAGGTGATTATTAACACTGCTCTTGACCTCCTCTCTCCCCTGTGGAGAGTCAGCTCGGGAAGTCACTGATGTTTCCCCATGCTGAGAAAGTGGGAGGAGCTGCACTTTCCCAAAGCACTGCTGGCAGGGAGGACAGAGAAAGACCTAGAGTGCTCTGACTTCCTTTAATCATTGAATACAAATGACCTAAAAATAACCCTAAAGGTAATCCACCTCCAAAATAAAAAGAAAATAAAAAATGAGGCAAGCAGGGAGAAGGGAGAATTATGAAGACATCCCTTTGATAAACTCTGCCCCTTAACAAAGGCTGGAGGGCAGAATTGGAAGATACAAGTGGTGATGGTAAAGGTGGCAGCTTTCCAATATCAATGTTGTCAGTTTATCCTGAAAAGTTAACCTTTTTAAACCAGCACCGAATCTTTTCTTTTTCTGTATAACAGCATTTTGCCTTTTTGTGGAAACAGTTCTCTAATAGGCTTTCTTGTGGCCGTTTATTACACATCGGGCACTGGGTTTGGTTTCTAATAGTTCCTTTTCATCTAGCTGCCTACTGCTGACTGTGGAAAGTGTAGGTTTGGCTCCACTGATGGCTCTCTGTAATGGCTGTGATTACACCCTCTGCATCTTCTTCACAGTGCCAGCCTTTCAATTGAAAGCACATTATGCCTGGATAAAACTCAAAGAGCAGCTTAATATCAGGGTTCTCTGGAGCTATAATAGCTGGTTCAAGATTGAGCAGATAAAACCACATCAATATTTCTGTATGGTCCATGACGTAAAACACAACAATCCTGCATATGTCTATCCATGAGTTAAAGCTGTATTTCACCATCACTCTGGGGGAAGAGAGGTGAAAATAAACCAATGTCATCAGAAGGTCCAGAGAACAGTGTGCAAACAGCATCCTATTGCCTGCTGCATGCATCTGCAGCATAGTCTCTTCATGTCAGACCCAGCAAGTCACCATTCTTATGCAGGTATCCCTTTAAACTTGAGAAAATGTGTTTCTGCAAAATATTTCACTATTACTGAACCCAGTTACTTCCAGGGAATCTACTGAAATGTTGCTGTAAGTACAAACAGAATGATGCTTTCAAAGGGGTGGGAGGAGGGGGAGGAGGGACCTGGGAAGAGGCTGGGAACTGTCTGTGCATTTTTAAACTATAAAAATTTGCTATTCAGTTTTGTGATCCTGACAACTTAGGGAAGCAGGTCCAAAATCCAAAAAATAAAAGAAAATAAAAAGGTAGTCCTTAATTCACTATTGGTTCTTTACAGATGACATTCTGAATTTTTTCTAAGCACATGTAAAGATTTAAAACCAAATTTTTTAACTGAAGTTCAGTTCTGCTGCATTTTACTGATTCTCAAAACTTGGAGGCAGCTTTAAAAAAAATACCAAATTTCTCAAGGATTTGATATGAAGGGAGAAAGAATGGAAGGGCAGAACTGTTATCAATAATTATATTCAAACTTTGCTTCAGCACCAGAATTGGTCAGTAAATACACTTACCCCAAAACTCAACTAGTTTAGACAGGCTGTAGTGGTGTTTGTGTGAAAAGCTAAGAAAATGCTGCATTCAGTGTTCATGAAGTGTTGGACTCTGGGCCCTTTTTGTCACAGCAGTCCTTTGGACCATGCTGTCCACAGGACCACACTGATACAAGCTGTGCCCTTACAGCAAACTGTGGTTGAGCAGGACTGGGCCTCTCTGGAGTGATTAATCTTGGGGACCTGATGTTCTCTAGGTGCACATTTCAGAGTGGGATTTTTGGGGGAGGTCACTTCAGGCTATCTGTCCTGTGATTAGAGACCTAGGTGTACATCTGGAGAAGATCTTTCAGTTTAGTTTTATTTGAAAGGAAACCAGTTCATTTACTCTGAGACTGCTTCGTGATGCAAAACAAAGTGGAATTGGCAGCTGAGAGATTTACTTCAGTAACACACTCTGAATTTAAATGGGAATGTAGTGCACCCTCAACCTCCAAGAAGAATCTGAATGGCTTGATGTTGTGAAGTGCTAAAGTGGTATGTAGAACACTGGACTTCATTTAAATATCCAGTTTATAGGTTCATCAAAATATCTCTGTTCTTAGCTTTCCACTATAGAACAACTCGTTAAAACGTATTCTTCAAAACACCAAGCGTGTTTTACTGTGGACCAGCTCCTGACATTTATGCACTAAAGCTGCATGTGCCATTTAGGTACCTTTCAAGACAATGTCTGTTTTATATGACAAAGTTTTCACTTGTCTCCAAACAATTAATCTTTCCATTTCAATACAAAGTTTAACTCCACTTACATCTTTACAAGGCTCTACCTGCATGAAAGTAACTGCTGGTGTGTGGAACCACAGAGGGGCACTGTGATTGTGCAGCAGAGCCAAAGTCATCCACTTGTTTTTCCATCTCCCACCAGCAAAGACCTGGATCTGACAACAGCCAGAGAAACCACACAAGTTCTGTTCCTCGCAGACTTCTCTATTCCCTGGAGTTCACTACCTCACCGAGGCAGGCACTTAGTGAAA